TTGGTGGCTGTCCTACACTCACTCGCAACTAATTAAAACAAAAATCGCAGGGGAGGTTTTGCGATCCGGATCGCTTCCCCAAGTCCCATCTTAGACCACTTTCTAGCTTATTTGACGCTTTCTCATTTCTCGGAACACCACTATGTCGCGAGACCCAACACAGGTTTATAGGGATCTTCGGCAATCCTTGACGCATATCGAGTTAGTCGTTGCCGACCCTAAGGCTCTGATGGCAGCTTGACTGTCAATAACGAAGGCTAGTTTAGACGGAGCAAGCTACAGCTTTGTCGATTGCATATATCTCAGAGTGGACATTTTGGGGTAGCCACCTGTTAATAAAATTATTTTACTCAATCATAATAAGCATATGCATCAGTTCTGCACCGTCACTGTTAAACGAAAAGACTTAACCTCTACATGTGCAATAGCGTATTATTTTTCTGCGTAGGGTTGCCACCTAATAAAAAGTTAAAAGAATTTCGCCGTTCGTTGGATTACAAAATGAGATACCAAAGGAAAGGGCCTGGCCTTCGCATGGTCATTTCTTTTGAATAGGGTAGCCACCTGTTTAAAAATTACTATCTTCTTTACATAGTGTAAAGGAAACTCGAGATATTTTGACCACGCTATTCTCAAAAACTACTGAACGGATTTATATGAGATTTTTGAAGTATAATATGTATCGTTAGGAATATTATCTTTAGTACTTTAACGCTGGACTCTGCAAGGGCAATAAATTTGTATTTTTTGTTGAGTGGGGTTGCCACCTATTTAAAAATTATGTATGTATAATACGCGCGGGCATTTTTTAATGACATTACATTTTCACAGTTCAGTCAATTAAAAAAAAAAATCTGTTATCAAAGGAAATGGCTTGACCTTCAAATTTGTAGTAAAGTTTTATTTTTCGAAAAGGATTACAACCTGTGCAAAAAATTTAAAAATGCTCTACGTTAGATTACAAGAAATGAGGTGTCAAATGAAAAGGCTGGGCCTCCAGATTCGCAATTGTATATTATTTTTTAGTAGGGTTGCAACCTGCTTAGTTATCAATCGCATCTCATTTAATATGTATACATTCAGCGCGTTGCGAAGCGTCGCCCATATGAGGCCCGCTAGTATTTATTAAAGAAAACTTGCATAACAAATACGTACAGAATTACTTTGCATTTCTACATACGTATGTACATACATACATATTATATTCTTGTATAACGAGTACTTGATGACAATGCAACAGCCATCACGAATTATACAAATTACCATAGTTCCTGCTGTGGTCACCGCTGGCGCAATGCAGTCTTGCGGTCGAGTGGATGCCACACCGCAGCAGCAGCAGCAGCAGCAGCATCACAACGTGGCATAGAAATGTCACAATAACAACCAAACGAGAAAAAAATAAAATAAAAGGCAAAAATAGTAGACACAAGCAACGCCAAGCAAGCAGGCGAGAAAAGTGAAGGATATAAAAAAAGCAGATAATGAAAAGGACAATGTGATAAATCAAAGACACATTGAGGTGACACATTAAAGAGGTGTCGCACTTCTCACTTGCGTGAGTCGATGTCCAAAACAGATGTTGATTAAATATTTAAGTCCGCATGTAGTTTGTTCACACAGCCGACAGCTACATACATAGATATACATATAACTACTTACCTACCTCAACAACTTCTGAAGTAGAAATTCGGTCGATACACTTATATACATACATGCCTCAGACTACTTAACTTGAAGATGATGAATTTACTTGGTATACAAAACCTTCAGCATACTCTCGTACCTTTGTATGTATGTATTTACATGAACTCTATTTCTAATGAATCCTTATAAATATATATATATCACCATTAACAGTTTATGACACGCTTTTACGAATTTAGCATTTACTTCTCAACTTCTCATTTCACTCACTCCCGTCACCGGTCGCTAGGTGCGCGCAAGCGACTGTTCCACTTCCGTTCGCTGAGAATATCGCAAATGGACTGATTTCATTTGACGGAATTGGGTGTTGCTTTTGATATTTACTTTTCGTTTGTTTTTTTTTTTGCATATTCAAATAAGTAAATTTTAATGTTAATACAATTGTAGGTGTGTTTCATTGTTGTAAACAATACATGCGCACTAGCAGAATGTTTGCAATTTCCGGTTTTGCTTACTCGCTACTTTGACAGTGGTTAGCGGTTAGTGGAGAGCTTTTCGAAAAGTTTTAGTCGAGACATATGCCATCAAAACACAGGGTGGCATTAAAAAGAGATATGAAATTGAAGAAAAAAATACAGTTGCAAAAGCCAGGTGCCAAAAATAACCGTTATCTTGAACTTACAAATTTAGTTATTCCCTCAATTCAATTGCCGCTTCTTTAGCGTAATTTGGCGAAAAGCAGGACCTAACTGTAGTCCTGCGAAAGTATTTTGACTGTTCCGAAAGCAGCAGAATACGTGACAGTTGGCTATAAAGTTACCAACATTTTCGGATTGAACTCCCGATGGATATGGATAAGGATATTGATATGAATAAGAATATGGATATGGATGTGGATCGGGATATAAGAATGGAAATAGAAATGAAAATGGATATGGGTATGGATATGGAAAAAGATATGAATATACATATGAATAAGGATATGAATATGGATATGGATTAGGATATAGATGTGGGTATGAATAGGGATATAGACATGGATAATGATATGGCAGCGGCATCCATGATAGTTGGCTCATCAACCTACCTATGAAGTATGGAAACATTTTCAGAATGGATATGCATAAGGATATGGATATGGCTAAGGATATGGATTGGGATATGAAAATGGAAATGGATATGGATAAGGATATGAATATAGAGATGGATGTTAATATAAATATATGTGAATATGGACATGGATATGAATATGGATTTGGATATATGTAAATATGGATATGGAAATGGAAATTGATATTGATATGGATCAAAAATGGGAAATATCATTTTACACAAAAAGTTCGAATAAGTGGAATTTGTTAGGTACACACATACACGGTTTTTATAGGCCTTAATCTTTAGTCACCCTTGACAACAATCGAACTGTTAATCTAGACATATATGTATATGTATTGTGCTGTTTTATTTATTCGCCCCCAGCACAAGGTCAGTTCTAAAAAAATTTTATTCGGAAAAATAAATGTAAAATTGAAACTTTTTCTTTTTTTTATCGAAAATGTCAGAGCCAAATTTTAATCGAAAAAAGTGAAATTTTAATTATTATTTTTGACGGAAAAAAGTAACGCTTAATTGTTGAACTTTCTGAAAAAAATCAAAAAAAATCTATCATTTAATATTAATATTCCCAAGCTTACAAACACGAAAATGCTATGTTCAAATTTCTCTCCGAAGTCTTGAATCGAAATTTCGTAAATAAATGGTGTTATTATACGATTTGGTTGGAATTCATATCCAATGGATTTTAATTTTTCGATAGGCAATGCTTCTGCAAAAAATGTACTCAGTAGATAGTGCTATAGTCGAAATATTTAGAAACCCGGTATTTCTGATAAGCAGGGAACGGATTTTTAGGACCTAAAAACCTATAAAAAAGGCAAAATAAAATAGCGAAAAAGGCAGGAAAAGGCTCTAGGTATTGCAAAAAAGGCAAAAATAGGCAAAACAAAATAGCGAAAAAGGCAGGAAAAGGCACTAGGTCTTGCAAAAAAAGCAAAATAACACACTAAAAAAGACAGAAAATACGAAGAACAATCAAAAAATACATTTATTTTAGAAATGTTTATATTACAAGTAAAAAGAGAAAAACTATGAACTAGTTTCATTATAAGAAAAATTTGTACTTTGAATATTTGACAATTTTATCCTTTCGAGTTTCTAACTCATAAAACTTTAATCTGTATATTTGTAGTAACGTTGAACCACAAGATGCATTTTAAAGTTTTCTGGCAGCATTTTCATTCGATTTTCGCGAAGAGAAGCCTTGAATGTACTAAATGTGCGCTCGAAGTAAGTTGATAAAACTGAAGCTCAATTTAAATATGGAACGTTTGAAACGTTCATATTATCAGAAATAAGGGCGCTTTCCTCGCCCTTTACAATTTTATCCACACCCCTTATTGTCGTCAAACCTACGTTAGCTGAGAAAACGGCTTTGAATTTTTCCAACACCAATTTGGCAAGAGGTCTCTGCGCTTCTATAAGCCGCATGGGCAATGTGTATATTTTTTAATCTTAAAAAAAAATTGTAAATGCTACAATCACTTTTTCAAAGGTACAAAAGGCAAAAAAAAGCAAATATCTTAAAAAAGGCAAAAAAGGCAAATATCTTAAAAAAGGCAAAAAAGGCAACATCAAATGTGTATATATGGAATCAGGGAAAGCTAAATCGTGGACATTCTTAATCGAATATACTCTATCTCTTTAGCAGAAAAAAAGGCAATTTCCATAAAATCCGTTCCCTGCTGATAAGCTTTGGGACTTTATTTATAGTATATTTATTTGCTTTTCAGATAGCTAAATACATAAATTATGAGGTTAAGTATGCATACAAAGAAGCGCAAATTTTACTCACCCCCGCATTCACCCTAAATACGATTATGAATCTATATCCGATTAAATTAATTGCTCGAAGCGGCCATTATTGTAGACCATTTCTTGAATCAAAGGAATCTATGGCCATTTATATATATACCAGGCACATCAGCAAGTCGTGGGTATATCAAGAAGGAAGGTTTGACATATATGTGGCAGCACGGAATGAGTCATTTTTACTTCTGTGGCCGTTTATCTCTGATCGAGATAGGTTTATAGACTCTAATAAATATAGGTGCTTGAACTTCTGAATATAAAGAGGTAATGCTAAAGTGACGAATTATCAATGGGTCTATTTGAACGATATTTAAAAGATCACACGGCTCATGTTGCCAATGAAAGGGAAAACTCTGTCGTGCTCTCGATCATCTAAGCTCTTTACGATTTGATTGGCTTAAGAGAACGATATTAAAGTATAGACAGGCGGCATCGTTGATCCGGATTAACGTCACAATTGATCTGATCAAAATTGTGCCTAGACAGACGGCAGCAATGCGGATTTACGAGCCACGAGCTCTTAGGTTCGAATCCCACGGCCAGTAGAATATTCATTAGATTTCTTTTATTTATTCAATTATAACTTCTATATTTTTTTAAGTTGTTTTAGTTAGTTATTTTATAGTCGCTCCAACTTAGGATTGAACCTGAGACCTGCAGGCTTGTAGTACGGAGCCCTCACCACTCGGCTATCGCTAGTTTTGCACTTTCTCTCTATTCTACGATCTCTATGTTTTAGTCAGTGTTGTCAGCGAATATTCCCTTGATCCGAGTTAAGTTTGGGAATTAACTCTAGGACTTAATCCGGATCAAGCTTGAAAAATCATTTAAGAAATCCTTGCGGAGCTCCACACATTTAAATAAGACCATCGGCAAAGCTGATAGCATCGAAAGTGATGAGAATTTCATATTGCATTACAGCGCTACTATTCCTGAAGGCTCTTCGGTAGTTTCAACTTAAACGAAGAATTTTTATCTTACAAACCATTTTTGCTTTTCGGTGCTATTTTTGCATAAGACAAACCAAAAGTTCTTATCAGGCATCGCCTCAAAGCATGCGGGTATTCTGCTTGTATTGTATGAAAATTTCCACATTTATTTACAAATTTATTAAAATATTTGGCTAATGGCAGGGTTAGTGCTTTCGTTGATCACAATCATGGCGAGAATTTACTTAAGTACTCAAAGTACATAACTTATAATCTAATTACTCAAAATTTTCACAAAATAAATAAAAACTTAAAGCTATTCAGCGCACGCGTACACGCTTGCTCTAACTTCTCATACGCCACGAATTCTTTATCAGATCGGCCGCCTTTTCGGCAATCATTATTACAATGGCGTTAGTGTGACCAGAGGGTATAGTTGGCATAATCGAAGCATCCACCACACGCAGATGCTTAATGCCATGAACACGTAATTGTGGATCCACCACAGCCGCCGAGTCCGTGGCCGGGCCCATCTTACAAGTGCCCACTTGATGTTGCAAACTGGAGCCATAACGACGCAGGCAGCACTGCCAATACGCTTTGCTGTGAAAAGTCAAATGTTCGCAACCCAAGAAGGGTTTCGCATTGAATTCGGTGCCTATGCGGCGCATAGACTTCGTTTGTGTTATTTGAAAGATCTGAAAGTAGACAAAGTAATAAAATTGCTAGCTTGATATGAGAACGCCAGCAAACTTGCCAACTGCACACCCTCCAACATGGCGCGTACATCGTCTGGATCTTGCATGTAGTTGGGCTCCATACGTGGCCAATGGAAAGGGTTTGTGCTACGCAGTGAGATGCGGCCGCGACTTTTAGGACGCAAAAGTACTGGCACCAGTCCAAAAGTTTCCTAAACGAAATAGTTTAAAATGCTTTTCCAAAACTAAGTAATTAGCTTGTAGGTTGTTCACCTTTTCGTGCAGACCTTCGTAGACTTTGTAATAGAAATCATCTGGCATGCCGAGCAGATCACGCAGAGAGCCCATGTGATCGCCGCTTAAGGAACCCGCGCCCAGCACGATCTCCATATCAGCATAGTCCTTATCTGCATTTGAATAGGAGAGAGAAATTTTTTAGTTTGCAGCCTTGCATCTAAAATAAAAGGCCCTTACCAACTGTCGCATTTGGCGTGCGCACAAAAGCAAATCCCTCAGCGCCACCAGGTATCGTATAAGGTCCTCTCCCTTGCAGTATATAATGCAGAATATCTGCTGGATTTATTAGGCGTCGATCATTTAAAGTCATCGTATCATTCACTAAAAATACCAGTCCATTCAGCGTCACGTGATCTTGCATATTGTAGCCCACCTGCAGATCACGCATCACCGGTATACCCAGCTCTGCCAAGTGCTTTCGCGGTCCTATGCCTGACAACATCAACAACTGCGGCGATGCAATCGCTCCCGCCGAGAGTATAATTTCCCTCTTCGCTCTCACCACATACCGTTGATGGTGCTTCATAAACTCAACGCCATTTGCCACTCTAGTCACTGGATCCACCAAGATACGCGTCACCCAAGATTTCATTGAGATTTGTAAATTTGGTCTTCCCGCTATTGGTCTTATGAAAGCCTTGCTCGTACTACAACGTCGACCGTTGCGTAGATTTGCTTGCGCACGCGCGAAACCCATTAAATGCTCGCCATTCGTGTCGGTTATTTCGTAGCCCATTTCGTGGCTTGATTTTAGAAAAGCTTGTAAGACTTTCGACTTAAAGTCTGTATAGCTGACGTCAAGTGGTCCATCACGTCCGTGGTAGGGTGACTTGCGCAATTCTTTGATATGTATGTTTTCGGATTTCTTAAAATACGGCAAAACTTCGTCATAACTCCAACCCTTATTGCCGAGTGCCGCCCAATGATCGTAATCTTTGCGGTGTCCACGCGTGTACAGCATGAAATTAATGAGACTCGTACCACCGACGCCGCGGCCTTTAGGCCAATTACAAACGCCGCCTTTAAGGCCCTGGCAGGCATTGGGTGTCGGATCGGATTTATAACCCCAGTTGTAGCGTGTCATCTGCGTGAGTGCAGCTGTGAGGGGAACGTCACTGAAAAGGGTGAAAAAGTATGCAATGAGGAAACATTCTTGATTTGAAATTAAAATTTTGGTAATATTTCGGAAAACGGTAAGGAATGTTATTATCAGCCTGTAAACAGAAAGTGAGAGAGCTGTGGAGCTACTATTCCGGAGTCACATAGGGCGTCACTCTTAAAGTGGCTTACTGAAGGCTGACTTGCTGTGGTCCCTGTGTAAATTGGGACAAACTGAAATTTTACTATTTACAAGAAAGTATAAAACACCTCCACCGGAGCTAAGTGAACTTCGTCAATGTGTGTGAGCTGGAAGGAGAACCTAAGTCAGCATTATGAGCAGACTTCTATGACTCAGTAAGCGGTGCAAGAAATGGAGTTTCAGTTCTGAATCTACCGCCGCTGGATTTAATGGGCAACAGGTGGCAGCATTTGCTGTTCTTCATTTAAAGCAGACATCTCATTTAGAGCTGCTACTCGTGGAACGCTCTGCAAACAAATTCTTTTGTGACTTAAGTTTGCGGACTCTAATTTCTTATGTTTTTGGCTAAAGGTGGGAATTTTAGCTTTCTTTAAATGATATTCCAAAGATTTTCGTTGCATTGTTTTTTTTTACTATAAAAGTTCAATAATTAAAAAAATGCCATTTTAGACAGTCCCAAATATTTAGAAAACTAGAGCTAATTGAATAATATAAAGGCCAGATTCTTACTCTTCGAAAAAACCCTTTGGAAATCAGCTCTCGAAAGCTCTGTTGCATAATTTTGTTGACCAGTGTTATAGAAAATATCTCGTATGCCCTATTTTCATTAGGGATTCAAATAATAAAAATTCCAAAAAAGTCGTGAGTACCAGGAACCAGTTCCGAAATGCTCCTGAAATAGTTCTTAATAGGCTCCAAAACGGTCGAAAAAGTCTTGAACTTCTTCCAAAATTATCTATTTAGAACAACTTTTGAAACGGCCCTAAAATGATGCCGACTAGGCCTAAGATGGTACTCAAATATTCGTGAACTAGTGCCGCAATGGTTCCGAACTGAAGCCGAAATTATCCACAACCAGTCGAAAAATAGAGCCAAGCTTTTCGTGTACTAGTCCCGATATGGTCCGGAAATAGCCCAGATGTGTTCATTTGTACACACAAGAAGCAATTATGGATTTTCTGCTCGGTTAACACAAATTTTACCCATGCTGAGAGCCTTAAAGGTTTTGTTTAGGCGCGTCTGCTAACACCAGGCGCCTAAATACATGCTATGTACTGCTGCATGTGCAAAAATTTCCTTTATGCAATTTAGGAAATTTTTGCACATGCACTTCTCAACTGCCAAGTAATTGAACTTTCTTAAGTTTCAATAAGATGGCACTTCAAAGTATGCTCTGCCTAGTCGGATGCATCCTCAGGACACTGCTTCCGGAGCATTCTGCGGACTCTGCATGGCTTACAACCATGCGGAGGTGGTAATAGTTGATTACCATTGGCCACAGTGCCTACCCACTACTTTTTGGTCCAATAAATATTTTTTTATATACATACATGCAAACATACTGGTCTCCCCTCTCACTGAGTTATTCAGGTTTACTCATCAAAAAGAAATCAGGCGTCATTCTATTCTTGATAAATATCATGCTTGATATTTCTAAAAATATATGTTTTCAAGTAAATTCCTCTTTCTTTCCATCTTTTTCCTGCAAAACGTTAACTTTTTTAATTTTATTTATTTACTTACCTCAAGAACGTCTCTTGATCGCCCGCTTCCAAGAGCAGCACTGTCGCATTGCTAATCTCACTGAGCCGATTCGCCACAACACAACCACCTGAACCGGCACCGATAATTATGAAATCATAGGCATCTTCGAATGCTTGCGTATCTGGCAGGCGCGTATTCAGCAATGAGGTTTCCAAATTGCGTGCCAAATCGACAAGAGGCTGAGCATTGATCAGCAGAGGTATGGCAAGAAGCCAAAGGTTGTCCGGGCACCAACAAATAGATGGCATACTAAGAGATGCGTACAAGTGGGGAGCAATGAGTTGTTATGGTGGCAGTAGCAACTGTAGATGTGACATGGAAAATAGAGATTTGCAAAATTACCTACATATTTAAATATTTGCGTAATAAATAGATAATATCTTAGTTGGCACTGCGAAAAGTATAAAAATATTTTCAGCTATTTCTCATATTGTCCCAACAAATGTAAGTAATACAGTGCCATGTGTGTACATATATATATATATATAAGTACGTATATGCATTAAACCTAGACGCATCTAACACTTAGCAGTGAGACACTAATTGTGCGTGCTGCCTTTATTGCGAAATTGAGTTCTAATTTGTACTCTAAATAGCTTTTTTGTAGGCAAACAGCTCACAGGGACCTTGAGCACCATTTATTGCAATTTTTTTACAAATCCTAAAAACTAAAAATCAACACAACTGAAAGTGATAGAATTATCACATTTGTAGAGCAGAGCGCACTTGTGCTCAAAAAGCTAAGAATTAAAAGCAAAATAAATTAAGGCTCTTGTCTGTATATGAAAGAATAAGACGAAGGCGAAGACCCATACGAATGCGGATAGGAACATGAAGATGACCACGAAGACGATTACGAACACAAACCCGACGAGGAAGATGATTTTGAAGACAAAGACGAATACGACGACGAATATTAATCCGAAACCCCGGTAAGAAGATGAGGATGAACCGAAGACGAATGGGAAGGAGAATACGAACCCGGGGATGAATACGAAATCGAGCACGAACACGAAGACTAAGATGAATACGAAGATGATTTATAATACGAAAAATTTTACGAAACGGATTGCCACCTACCTAAAAAATTAAGCTGTCAGATACGTAGTTTCCGAATATGTATAATGTAGCTCATGAACATGGCGCCTAAAATGGGCACGAATACGACTACGAATATGAAGATGAATACGCAGATTAATGCCAACGAAGGTGAATGGAAATATGAACACAAAGACAAGCATGAAGTCGAAGTTGAATAAGAACACGTATACTAGTACGAAAACAAATACGAAGGCTAAAAGCCATAACTAAAACAAAGCGCGATGGGCGTTGGGCCTGTCGTCTATCTTCTTCTGGCGCAGGAAGATGGCCGCTCTGACTGAGTGGTTTGAGGTGCATGAAACCACTCCATACGACCTGGGTTCGATCCCTGCTCCGAGCAACATCTTAATAGAAAAAGTTTGTTCTGACAGTGGTCGCCCTTTGACAGGCAATGGCACAGCTCCGACTGTATTTCTGCCTTAAGAAAGCTTCTCATAAAAACCATTAGTCATTCGGTGGCGGCGTAAATTTGTAGGCGCCTCCATTTGTGTTATACTATTAGGACACACATCTCGAATTGAAGGAGAAGCTCGAAAAAAAAATTTTTTGTCGAACCCATGGGTCCGCTTTGTTTACATACAGTCGGATATCGATGCTTTTGTCTCGAGGAGACAATTATTTTTTGGTAATTGGCCTCAAAATTCCTGGTTCTAGTATTTACCAACCAAATCATCTCAACTTCATGATTCTTCTATGAATCAAAAAAAAAGCCAAATTAAATAGATTTATTTAAAATTGTTCTACCGGAATGATCGAAGTATTTATGTTCTTCCTTAGCAAAAGTCTAATGATTTTGTCAGAGCTTTACTTTACTGATAGTATAGTAATACGTTAGTGCTATTAGAACAGAGATTTGGTGCGTAAGTACTAGAACGGGGTACTTGAGGTCAATGAACTTTGGAACAAAAAAAAATTCTCCATATCAGCATATGGGTGTTTCCATCGGAAACAACTAGAATTGCTGCAAATCATATCAAAATAAGTTTCATGAAAATAGCCATCCATTATTCGCAGAGTTTTGCGATTTTGTAAGAAAAGAAAAAATCTACTTCCATTTTTTGTCATGTAACGACACTCTCTTTAAATGCTTATATTTCAGGACCAAGCAGTTCGATTATGTGCTATACAATGGCCCAAAAAAGTTAAAAAAATCAAATGGTATTCCTTGTTTGTATCACATTAAAATGTACGACTGTCACGTATGCGACGTATGGAAATTCCCATATCACATTTTAAGATCCGACTATAAATGCCGAAGATATGTTGAAAAATATAACCAAAAGTAAGCAGCTTCGGCGAAAAAAACCAAAAAAACAATAAACATTTTTTCGAAGTTGCCTTACAAAATATTTTAAAATCAGGGGTATTGTCAAATTTTTTTCCCTATAATCGAATGTACATTAGGGTGGGATAAATTTTATTTTTCCAGCCACCTGCAGAACAGAAAAACGTCGAAAAACAGGAGGCCCGTATTTTTTATTTTGTAATCGGTTAACATTTGCTGTGTGGTTGAGGCTTTAACGCTACCCATATATTTTAGATGGAGGAAAATAAACTTTTTCTTAGAAATGATATAAAGTAGTTAAAAATAAATAATTTTCGATTGAGTAAAAATTCGTTACAAAATAAATTATCTTACCACCCGGCTCAAAAAAAAAATAACCAACACCAATACCGCCATGATGTATATAATGGTCTTATCTCTTTAAAAAAAATAAAAAATGTTATGTGTTCGTAGCCATATTACGCACGCAAAAATAGTGAAATTGTAGAGTTAAATTTGCATCATAATTGTCTTGTTGGAAGCTATGAACTTTTTTTTTACACCTACTCTATTAAAATATTTGTAATTTTTTTTTTTATTATTATTATTTCAATTCCCTTTAATCAATAGCTAAAGCTCTTATATCATATTTAGTATAAACTACGCAGGGATCGACTACTTTTCTTTCCAGTTCATATAATTTGCAAACACAAATCCTCTGATTGAAGCTGGGTACATATTTTAACTGTCAATTTCAAAGTCCTTCCAAAAAATTTTTAAGAATTTTCCAAGGACTTTGACACTGAAGAGTATGTTGCGAAGTTCTGCTCGCTACTCATCACACTCGGGAGCATATGACTCTTTGGAACACTTTTTTCCATCCGCGTAAGTTTTTTTTTTTTTGAGTTGTTTTTACATTTGAAGGAAAAGTTTCGTTGAAAAAATAAAATAAAATAAAAATAGCGGTGCTTCTAAATCGGCAAATCTTTGACAAATAATATTGTATCGTTGTGTTAATTTTATCAAATGAAAGTCAAGATTTTCTGCTAATGACTAGACGACATTTCACAGTGTACCTCGACTGGTTCTGAAAGTTTATTTAAAAAATAAAGTCCTTAGCAAAAGCGTAAGGTTTCAGTTCAGGTGAGTCAAAATGCATACTATTGTTCTATATTTAATATAAAGATCCCTTCACTCACGCTCATACTATCCATAAAATATGTCTTAAATATCTGTGTTTTAAAACAGGTATGTTTATTTTAGAAATGTTCCTTCTTACTGTGTAGCAACTTATCTACATAGTTTTAAAGATCTCAACCTTGAAATGGGGCAATCGCGTATTCAGTTTTTACTTTTTTATAAACCAAAAAAAAAAAAGAAGTATTGAACGCCAACCGGTTTACATTTCTTCAAAACTTCAAGTTCAAAATCAACAACCTGTCACGGACGTGACCGCTCAGCTGATACAGCTATGTACATACTCTCAAAAAGAAATAAAGAAGAGGTAAAATAATATACAACAAATGGTATGCTATAAAAATGCACGCGAAAAAGCAATCAAAACAAACTAAAATGGCAAAGACCGGTTTGGCGACGCTTTTAAGTGTATCAAAACAAAAACGATGAAACTCGGTCATTACTGCAAGCCAAAACAGCAAAATATATACATAGGTATGTGCATACATATGTATAATCATACTTCACCAAAGCATCGAATTGAATATTTAACAGTTTCTCTGCGCTATAAATAGCCAATTATTCGTAAGAAATTTACCTATCCATAGCAAATTTTTTCCATAAAAGCTGACACTTTCGTACAAAAATGCCAAATATAAAATGCAAAATGTGAAGGAAGCCGTAAGTTTAAAATGTTATTGCTTTTGATGTCATTTTAAACTTGCTGTGCATTTTATTTACATACATTTTCGCTATTGTTTTTCGCACTGTGAAGAGGGCTTCACATGATGGCTTTTTGGTCACTTGAACTATTGCGTAAATTGTCCTTGTATCGGTTACATTGTTACGGATACGGATGCTTAAGATTTCAATAGATGCTTTATACGTACATACATATATACATACATAAGTGTAGTATTGACAATTGAATTCGGGACGTTAAAATAGATTCGAGCTACTTAAAAAGTGTGATCCAAGGCATATGGACCGTAGCCTCGCAATAGCTTGATAGTTTAAGAGGAAGTGTTTAGATAATTACACCTCATCAACCCCCAAATGCCTACGACAGTGAAGCTCCGTTATATTTACTCTCAAAAAAATATCCCTTGACCACATCCAGTTCATCCTGGGCCACAATGAGCCTGCACCCATGCGGGGGACCATGAATGAATCCGATGCTAACTATGATTGCCACTTGACTATCAGAGTAAGTGTTTACTTCTCTTATCAATATCACTCAGTTGAGCAGTTAATGGACTGTAAGTCTATTTTGGTTTAAAAAATTTTACATAATTTTTTTTTTTAATTTTGGCCTATGTCAGCAACCACTGTGCAATGTGACGAAGTGAGAACAGCAATAAATAAATAATACTTTTTTTAACAAATGAATTCAAAAACGTTTAAATAAAATATGTATACATATGAACATTAGACCCTACAACCATACAAGCAAAGAAAAAGTTTCGCCATATGCCTTTGAGTCTAAAAGTATTTTTGCAAGGCAATTTCGAACAAAAAATTAAATTTTTTTTTGTGGAATGTTAGGTTGCCCGTTTTTAATTCTTCGGTGACACATTCGGCAGTATTTTTTTTTTTTAATAGTTCTACTGATATGATCACAATACTTCCTACTGGCATTAGGGTGTTAGGAACTGAGATGTGGTGGGTAAGTTCTAGAACAAAGTACTCGACATCAATGAATTTAAGATCCTACTGTAGATGCCGAAGAT